GGGCGGCGCCGAGAACTGCACGGCGCCTCCGCGGTGTTTTCCTGGTTCCGCGCGGTGGCGCCGGCGCAGCGCTGCCGCCCCGGGCTGCGCAGGTGGCCGGTTCGCGTCCCGCAAGTGTCCTAGCGCGGCGGGCTGCCCGTGCCCGGCGAGCATTCACCTCTTGCCAGAGGAGCCGCCTGGGCGAGTGCCCGGCTCCGGCGTGTGGGGCCCGGGTTCCACCGCTCAGCCACAGCTTTGGCTGCCGGGCCGGGCACCCTCCATAGGCAGAGAACCCAGCACCCCGTGTCGTGATTATGTTTTGTTTTCATTGCCTGGGTGCCCCGGGCGCGCTCCCCTGGCATGGCTCATGGGGGAATGGCAGCCGTGCGTTCATGCAGGGAGCAGAGGGGCTGGAGGAACTGGTGCTGCCGCTGCACCTTCTCCTCCCTTCCTGAAGAGCGATTGCCTGGCCGAGCACTCACGGTCACTTGTGTCCGTGCTCCCCGTGTGTCCAGCGGGCTGCTGGAGCTGGTATTCATGGCTTTATGGCGTGGTGGGAGCAGGTGGATGTGAGCCAACGAGTCCCTTGACAAGGCTGATCTGAGCTCCGAGTGCCGGCCCCACTGAGGGGAGGCAGCAGCCTGACCCGCCTTGCCCACCATCTGTACAAACACCGCTCTCACCGTCTCCYGGTGATGCCAGGATTGAGTTCTGTTTGCAAAGCCCTTTGAAGAAGTCTGTTTCCAACTATCATCATGTTTGTTAAAATGCAGCTCTCCCTGCRGGACAGCAGAGCAGAAACAAAGCTGATCCACGGGAGGTTTTCACGGGCGGCGCGGTGCCCTGAGCCGGGGTCAGCATCCTGTGGTGGGTTCAGTCCTCCCGGGGAGCTGGTGCGTGGGACTGGCCCTCGAGCAGGGACTCCTGAATCGGCCTCTGCTGAAATCAGCTCTGCGATGGAGCTTCAAAACAAAGCAGGGCATTACTAGTCATGAATGTTTTGMTTTTTCACTGCATGATAAACCTCTTTGTTATATAAGTGTTACTTTCTGCACATCTGTGCTACAGCTTGTTGATATTTCCTCTTGATCAGCCTGATGTGTCATATGGATTGCTGTAGGGAATGCTGAGCTGTTGCTGTTCAAAGTTGGAAAAATCTCAGCAGGTGCCTGTCTAGCAAAAAAAGGCACTTTGCACCTGCAAAGTGTCCACCCCACATCTTCCTGCAGCTTCAGCTGTATCAGTCCATTTTGGGTTACTTTATGATTCTGGGATGAGTTGTGTCTGCAGCAGTTGAAAACCACTGGTTCCCTGACTGGTTCACAGGGCAGGTGGAGCTTCCAGTTTTTGTTGACTGGGAATATGCTGCTGTGTTAGCTTTCCATGCATCTGTGTCATAAGCAACACTGAATTACTATTATTATTGTTATTAAAATAGTTTACCATTGTATTGTTAATGTTTAGGCTTTATGTCCAGTGCATGTGCATTCTCATAAGGTAAATAGGATTTGTATTTTCTTTTTTTTGCATGAATAGTCTATCTGCTGCTAATAATTTTCAAGATACCAATATTTTTTTTTTTTGAGTTTGGTCTGACAYTGTAAAAAGTTCTTGCAAGCCACTCTGGCAAAAATGGTGATGTCCTGCCCTGGCTTACCTAGAGGGGCTGTTCTCCCAAAGGCTGTGTTGTCCTTCAGACCCTCCAAAACATCCTTGCATGCCTGTCAGGGGGACCCTGAGATTGTGGGTGATGGCTGGTGGTGCACAAAGCCACTGGGGGTCTCCCTGCCACCATGACTAGCACCAGGACARTCTGTATGTTCAGGGAAAACCTTCAAGCAGCATATTTTTAGAGCTGTGTGCTGGACGGACCGTTGATCACTCTGGTTCTTTCTATTCCTTGGAACTTTCTGCTTTTCAGAGTGAATTGTTGTCTYAGGGCATCAACTTCAGGCCTGCCAAGAACAGTTTAATTTCCAGAAGCTTCCCAGCACCTGCTTGATCTTGCGCCTCACCTGGATATCGCTCAAAAATGCCATGAATACAAGGAGGTGTGGATAAGGTGTGGGAAGAGGAATGAAAGGAAAGAGGGGAAGACAAATGGAATGTAAATAGAGGCATTTTAAGTGCAGTGTCARTGTTTCTGAGGGAATTGCTGATTATTGATAGAGCTGCCTTTTCTGTTTATTTTGGTATCTGACATCATCAGTGATTTCTGTGGTGGGAGTGGGGAGATAGATTGCAGCTCTCGGCTAGCAGCCTGACTTTATCTTGGCAATAACACCAAGAATTACCAAGTTCTGTTTTGTCCACCAATGCCATGAGGGCAGAACTGAGCTAAGGGGATTTTTCAAGATAAATGTGAGTTGGACAGCTGTAAGAGCACTAAGAGGAAAAAGAAACATGAATAAAACCCATATACAAGCGAGGAACAGGGATGAAGACACTTGAATAATCTGGGAATGCTGTTGCCATGACTTTTGGACAGTGGCTGCTCTATGCTGGCAGTTACTGTGTGTATATGTAAAAATGTGCATACAGGATATATGGTGTAGCTTTTTGGGGTGAATTTTATTGTAGTCTAGGCCTTGATGTCTGCAGGAAATTGATATTTTGCAGTTTTGCAAGGTGAAGAACGCTGATAACCTTTTGCAACCCTCTTCTCCCATCAGTGCTGATAGGAAACCAAGTTAGTGCAATAAAAGCATAAAAGCTCATTTGTAACCCAGGGTTCACTCCATGAGGGTCACTACAGATAAATAAAGCCTCTGTCTGGCCCAAGCTCAAGCTGTGTCCCACAGTGGTCCCTTTGGGCACTACATAGCATCTCTTTCTTCTGCCAATAAACTAAATTTAAATTAAGTAATGGTCCAGGAGTGGTCTGACCCCAGTGATGGCCGTGGAGCACAGGCAAGGCACAGCCAGGGCAGCTGCAGCCACTGGAAATGGGGGTGATAAAGATGGAGTTTGCAAGAAAACAAACTAATTAAGCATTAATTCCCAGCTGAAGTCCAGGAAGGCTGAGAGAACCAGCATGTAGCCCCTGCAGAATGCGCTTGGCTGGGAAGCTCTGAAGGCTGAGCCAGCACCTGCCCTGCTGAGCCGAGAGGGGCCGGGTGGGGTCGGGGCTGTCGGGGTGTGGGTCACATCTGCAGGGGAACTGCTGATCCAGCACCTGCCCTGCTGAGCCGAGAGGGGCCGGGTGGGGTCGGGGCTGTCGGGGTGTGGGTCACATCTGCAGGGGAACTGCTGCCCATCCCCTCGCCCTCTGCACTGCCAGAGGTGTGTGTCCTCATAAGAGAAAGCTCAGACTGTGCCCACTGTTATTGTTTTGAAGCTTTTTTTTTAACTTACAAGATTGATTTGGAGAGAAAAATTTTAATAGGGCTCCTTTGGCCTGGCATGTGGCACACACTGATGCACAGGCTCCCAGTCTCTGGCTGATGGGTATTTTGGGTAAGYTGAACCTGTTTTAAGCAGTTGCATAGCTTCCATGGCCTGAATTTTGCTTTCAGTTTTCAAAACATGCCTCTGCTCATTCTCTCCATCACACACCACTACCGGAGTGGTGAAGCAGCTTCTGCTACCATAACCCACTGTAGTGGCAATGAAGCAGCGCAGCAACCCGATACTCATTTGTTTTGGTCGTGATAACTTTGTATTRATTTTACTGCGCAGTTAAGGAAAAAAACAAGATAAAAATCCTCCTAGATTTCTCTGGGCCAGCTCTGAGCTCTCTTCTGGGCCCCGAGAGAAGGTGCGTTTGCCAGCGGGGCTGGGCRGCCGCGGGGCCGGGCGCCAGGCGGATGCCGGATCCTCGCGTTGCCAGCGGCCCCCGGCAGTGCCCGGCAAAAGCTTTTGTGTCCGTTCTGCTGTTTGAAAAGAGCCGCAGTGGTGATGCCGTCACCCTTTAGCCCCCGCCCGGGGTGGCTGTGGGGATTAACTGATTTGTTACTATTTGCGCAAAATTACATATATGCTGCTCAGGCGAGGGAGGGGAACGGAGGAGGTGATGCAGAGTYCCTTCAGATGGGAGCACAGTCCTGTCTCTATTGCTGATTGTACCACCCCACTCTGATTTCTTGTTCCCTCTGTGCCAGTGATTCACGGGTTTGYGTAAGGAGGACGGGGTTTTCTCACATCTGCTTTTTAATCCAATGCATTTGACTCCAGCTTCCTTGATGATCTAGGAAATAGTATCAAGGAGGAGTAACTCTCCCAAGACCTGATTAACTGTGAAAGGGAGAGGTTTCTCTGCTGAACGTGACTTTTGTACATCTTCCATATATGGGTCAATTTGCCCAGGTCTTGAATATGTTTGAAAGCACTCAAAGGATGCTGGTGAGGTACTAAGGATGTTTCTTTGCTTTCCCATTTTTGTCCCCACCACTCAGCTTTGTTTAGCCTTCAATGGCRAGAATCCAGACGGTGTAAAAAGCAGCTCCCTTGGCTTTGATCTCTTGCTCATCTTGATAGTGCCACGGCTCGA